CAAATAAAATAAATTTATTGAATTTTGTTGGGTGGTTGTCAAGATATCTTCGCTCAAAGTTGTAGAAAAATCAAACCCTCTCAAAATTCTAAATTTTTAAAAAATTTGAGCGAAGCTATCTTAACAGCCACCTGACCAAATTTAATGAATTTTTTTTTATTTGAATTCTACGAAATATGTAGAATTCAAATAAAAAAAATTTATTGAATTTTGCCAGGTGGTTGTCAAGATATCTTCGCCCAAAGTTGTAGAGAAATTAAACTGCCTTAAAATATAAGCTGTGCCAAATTCTTTGAAAAATGTACCCAACCCTAGTCACATGCCCATACGGACATGAATATTCGCGAAATTATGACTATGTGATCTTGTGGACATAAATATTCGCGAAATTATGAAAAAAAAAAACTATTTAAAAATTTTGAGTGAAGATATATTGATAATCATCTGATCAAATTTAATGAATTTTTTTTATTTAAATTCTATGGAATATATAAAATTCAAATAAAAAAAATTTATTAAATTTTGTCAGGTGGTTGTTGAGATATCTTCGCCCAAAGTTGTAGAGAAATTAAAATATAAGCTGTGCCAAATTCTTTGAAAAATGTACCTAACCCTGGTCATGTGCCCATATGGATATGAATGTCCGCGAAATTATGACTATGTGATCTTGCAGACATAAATGTCTGTAAAATTATGAAAAAAAAAAAAACTATTTAAAAATTTTGAGCAAAGATATATTGATAATCATCTGATCAAATTTAATGAATTTTTTTTATTTGAACTCTACGGAATATGTAGAATTCAAATAAAAAAAAAATTTATTGAATTTTGTCAGGTGGTTGTCGAGATATCTTTGCCCAAAGTTGTAGAGAAATTAAACCGTCTTAAAATATACTGTAAGCTGTGCCAAATTTTTTAAAAATTTTGAGCGAAGTTATCTTGACAGCCACATGACCAAATTCAATGAATTTTTTTTTATTTGAATTCTACGGAATATGTAAAATTTAAATAAAAAAAAATTTATTGAATTTTGTTGGGTGGTTGTCAGATATCTTCGCCCAAAGTTGTAGAGAAATTAAACCGTCTTAAAATATACTGTAAGCTATGCCAAATTTTTTAAAAATTTTAAGCGAAGTTATCTTGACGGCCACCTGACCAAATTCAATGAATTTTTTTTATTTGAATTCTATGGAATATGTAGAATTCAAATAAAAAAAAATTTATTGAATTTTGTCAGGTGGTTGTCGAGATATCTTCGCCCAAAGTTGTAGAGAAATTAAACTGTCTTAAAATATAAGCTGTGCCAAATTCTTTGAAAAATATACCCAACCCTGGTCACGTGCCCATACGGACATGAATGTCCGCGAAATTATGACTATGTAATCTTACAGACATAAATGTCCGTGAAATTATGAAAAAAAAAAACCTATTTAAAAATTTTGAGCGAAAATATATCGATAATTACCTGATCAAATTTAATGAATTTTTTTTTATTTGAATTCTATGGAATATGTAGACTTCAAATAAAATAAAATTTATTGAATTTTGTCAGGTAGTTGTTGGGATATCTTTGTCAAATAAAAATCTAAAAATGCAAGCTGCGCCAGAATTTCTATAAATAATAGATAATCTCAAATTTAAATTTTTTTTGATATTAACCCTTTATTGTCAATTAATAATATTCAGAATATATATATATATATGTATAGTTCTTTTTTTCTTTTTTTATCTAGAAATTTAACTAAAATAATACACAAATAGTACCCACTAATATTTAATTAATGTAGCTAAAATGCAAGCTTTCCACTTGATGACCAAGTACCTTGTTGGTGGCGAGCTCGTAATGCTTCTTCACATTTACTTATTTCATTTAAAAATTGTGCTACTAAAGTATCATAATTATTTATAAAATTATAATTATTTATCTCTTGATTATATAAGGCTAATGCAACATCAAATTTTTTTTTATAAAATTCATATTTTTCTTTTCTTTTTCCTATTACATCAAAAGTTGTATCTTCAAGCAGATCTTGTAAGCTGCTTAAACAAGAACTACCTTGCATAACAGAATCATTTGATGTTTCTACTACCTCTAATACTCTAAGTCGAATCCATGGATTATTTGCTGAAGCAATAGATAGAATTTTTTCTTTACCAAAGAAAATCAATGGATAGTCATGTTGTCTTTTTGTTTCTAAAAATGTAGGTAAAAATTGTTTTCATTCTTTTTATTAACAAGATGTTTGCAAAGATAATAGCAGCTATATAAATAAGCTGGGCAGGAACAAACCCACTTATTTGTATCGATCTCATATCTATCTTCTGCATCTGATGAAATATCTGCTTCTGCTACTTTATTTCATTCCTTTTTAAAATCATGCCACCAGGATAGAAAAGTTCGATTTTTGTCATGCTGAACTAGTTTAATTTCAGAATCTGGAATTAGCTGCTCTGTTATAATTTGAGTAAGCTGATCTATATGTGGACAATTGTAATTATACTTGTATTTATATTTGAGGACTCTCCAATGGCTTTCTGTAATCATTGTAGTATATGCAAAAGGCATGGCAAGTGAGTATGAAAATCGAGCAAATAATTTCCAATCTTTTTTATTATACCAGTTCATCGATAGATAACCCCATAGTTTAACTAAATTATTTGAATAACAAAACTGATATGTCTCTTGAACACACAATTTATAGATTTCCCTCGAATTTATGTAAGTTCCTTTAGCTAATGAAATAAGTGGATGCATATTAGCATGCTTTTTAACTATTTCTAAAATTTGTTTAACATATTTATCTGGACAGATAGACCTGACTCCACTCTGAACTCATGAAGAATCGATAAACTCAAATTTATAATGAGCTTCTAATGCTTTAGTTGCTGAATATGTGCTTGATTTATACTTTTTATTTTTAATTTTTCTATCAATAGCATGCTCGAGATGCCAATTACAAAGTTGAATATTAGAGATTAATGACCAAGCTTCTTCAACTGAAGCTATTTCACCTGCATCTTTGTCTGTCAAAACAAATACTGGTTGCAACCCCTCTTGCCGAAGGCTAGTAAAAAATATTCGCAATACTTCAACTCATGTTTTTATAAGATTTCTTTGACTATTTCGAACTTCTTCGCTACCATCTAATGTGAAAAGATACATGTATGCTATTGGCATTCCATATCCCCTACAGTTTAAATTTACAGCAAAAAGTTCAAATCATTCTTGGTTTGTCTTAAATGTGGAGTCTATAACAATTTTAGTTGCATTTTTAGCTCCAATATGTCTAAGTAATGGAGTTAAAAACCCCAAAGCTCGAATGAAATTATTTTCTAGATAATTAAGAACTTTAAATCCTCTTTCTTTAAGTTCAGACTGTTCAAGATACTGCATTGCAGATAAAAGCTGATTATCTTGATTCATTATATAGGTTTTTTTTACTATACTCTGATACCCAATAATATACTTGCTTGGCTATATAAATCTCTAGGTTTATAAGTTTATCATGACAAAGACGGTTATAAACTTCTGTACTTCTTAAATTATATGGTAAGGCATTATTTTTAATCCATTCTTTTGCCTTTGCAGGAAACTCAACCTGGCGATAATTTGGTTTTTTATGTGCTACTTGATGACTTCTCTGGATAGTAGCAAATTGTTCTTCTATATTAATAATTATTTTAATACTTCCTGCACACTCATATCTTTCAATAGGAGGATGGGCTTCACTTCATCTTTTGGGTGTTTGGTCATCTGGTCTTTTCCAGGCTCAATCATCTCGCATAGTACAACCAAGATATGCCATAGCCAAGCCAGAAAATTTTTTATTTTTGCTATTTAAATATATTTTTCTAATTTCCCAATAATACCCAGATCCAGATACAAGCGGAATAGCAAGCATAGATGCAAGTTGTCTAAATTTTATTTCAATTATTTTTAAATCGGTTATATTTGCTAAACTTTGCTGATCTAAAGAGAATTTAATAAGAAGGTCTTGATCTAACTCAACTTCAAGGATGAATTTTACAAGATCGTTAAATATTTCAGTTTCTTCAAATTTCTTAGCAATGATTTCGTGAACTTCATCCAAATCATACATCATTAACTCTGAATTATTATCGCTTCAGACATCATGCTCATTTTCATTATAGGTAATGTACTCAGAGTTATTAGAGATAATATTATCAAAACTATCTGTGGTGATATTAGAAACATCAATGATAGTACCAGAGTCGTTAGAAATAATAGTACCAGAGTTGTTAGAAACATTGAGAGTGATAGTACCAGGGTCATTAGATATGGTAATGTTACCATTATCAGAAGTAAAATTGGAATCATTTGGAACAATATTATCAAAGCTGGTAGAGGTACCTATATCAAGCTCATCAGAATTAATATTGCTATCTAGGGCTTCCTGTTTTGCTTTTTTTATTTTTTTAGTTGCTTTCCATTTCTTAGCACTTCTTTCAGCATATCGATTACATGTGTCATTTTCTTCCTCTTGATTTTCATCAGAGGGATGAAAAAAGTTCTCAATACTCCTTTTAACATAGCAATGCTTACACATTTTTTTATTAAGTTCTTAAGTACTTTCACTTATTGTTTATACTTAATCAAATGTTAATAAATTTAAATACAAGAGAAAATTATTTAACTATTCTGAATTTCAATAAAGTCAAAAAAACACACATTAAATACATTTTCAATAATCTATATTTATAATTTTGTCACGATACATTTTTTTTAACAAATTATTTATTTTATTGTAAATAACTATATATATGTCTCTAATTATTTGACTTTGCTATTTTTATTTCCAAATATGACTTTGAAATATTATGAGAGAAAGAATTCGGCTGAATAATAATACTAACATAAATATGAATCGAAAAGATCCTTAATTCATAATATCTAAAATAAGTAAAGCTTTAATTTGATATATGCATAAATTTCGGTTATTACTATGCATGTGGCAAAGTTAATATAAATCTCTGCAATGTAACCATCACCACATACAATTATAATTATACCTGCAAATAAAAATTCATTCTTAAAAACTTAATGAAGATTTTGAAACTTAAATATATATTGTTAATTTAATAGATGCTTATCTAATTTCTATTTGACCAACTTTAGTGATTTTTAAATTCTGTAAACTGTAAAATTCAAGTTAAAAAATTTTCATAAAATTTGATTAAGTAGTTGTCAAGATATTTTCGCTCAAAGTTTAAAAAAATTGGCGAAGCTTTTATTTTGAAGACATTTTGAAACTTTAAGCGAAGTGTCTCAACAACAATTTGACTAAATTCAATGAATTTTTTTAATTTGAATTCTATAAATCTGTAGAATTCAAACAAAAAAAATTTATTGAATTTAGTCAAGTGATTATCGAAATATCTTCGCTCAAAACTTTTAAAAAATTTGGCACAGCTTACAGTATATTTTAAGATAGTTTAATTTTTCTGCAACTTTGGGTGAAGATATCTTGACAACCACCTGACAAAATTCAATAAATTTTTTTTATTTGAATTTTATATATTTCATAGAATTCAAATAAAAAAAAATTCATTAAATTTGATCAGATGATTATCAATATATCTTCGCTCAAAATTTTTAAATAGTTTTTTTTTTCAT